GCCTCCAAAGCCACAGAGAATGCCTGTCTCAAAAAAAAAAAAAAAAAAAAGATCCAGCAGTTCCACTCTTAGGCATGTACCAAAAGGATGCACATTCATTCAACAAGGGCATCTGTTCAACTATGTTCATAGCAGCATTATTTGTAATAGCCAGAACCTGGAACCAACCTAGATGCTCCTCAGCCAAAGAATGGATAGAGTAAATGTGGTACATTTATACAATGCAGTATTACTCAGCGGAAAAAAAAATGCAGTCTTTAAATTTGCAGGCAAATGGATGCAACTAGAAAAAAACATCCTAGGTGAGGTAACTCAGCTACAGAAAGACAAACATGGTATGTACTCAGTCATATATGGATTCTAGAGATGGTGAAAAGGATTACCAGCCTATAATCCACTCCTCCAGAGAAGCTAGGAAACAAGGAAGACCCTAAGAAAGACATACACTGTCCCCCAGTGAAGAAGAAAGAGACAAGAGCCCCTGAACAAATGGGGAGTATGGGGGGAAGGGGCAGGAAGGGAGAGAAAGAGGAGGTAGAAGAGGAGGGGGGAGGAGAACATGAGGTATCAGGAAGATTGAGTGGGGAAAGGAGTATAGGAGAGAAAGAAAAGAGACACATCAATAGAAGGAGCCTCTATAAGTTTAAAGAGAAATCTTACACTAGGGAATTATACAGAGATCCAAAAGGATGACCCCAACTAGTACCCTAAATAATAATGGAGAGGCGACCTTAAATGTCCACCATCTATAATGAGAAAGATGACTATCTTAAATGCCATCCTAGAGCTAGCCTGGTCTGCAGAGCAAGTTCCAGGACAGCCTTCAAAACAATACAGAGAAACCCTGTCTCAAAAAAATAAAAAAATGTCCTGGGTGTCACTGTAATACTCTCTTTTCCTCTTTCTAGTGGGCCACTTCAACTAGTCTCCTTTGTCTGCTTTCTGCCATTAGTCATCTCTTTAGTTGGCTCATCACTTTTGGATTGCTATGGCTGATAGTACTCTTGAAAGTTCTTATAGCAGTCTTTGTTTGATTCCAAGACCAACTTAGAGACTCTGCCTATGAGGCCCACCCTGCATAGGTCTTCAGGGTTCTGCTCCAGTTATGACAATGAACACCCAAGTAAAGTCTCTTTTGCAGGAGAGTTTTCCTCCATTCTGTTGCCTAAATATGTAGGAATGAGAGTTGTAGCTCTCCTTACCTCATTCTTAGGTCTCAGTCTTCACAGGTGTTAGGCTAGCAGCAGAGCACTTTACCTAGCTCTGCAGTTTGCTCTGTTGATTCTCACACTGGGCTTCAAGTACAAGGTGTAGATTTAACCATATCATTTCTCCATGCTGGGTTTCCTGGAGTCTATTGAGGAGTGATGGGGTACCTTTTTCTTTCTAGCTTTATGCTATGTGGTTTTTAGTGTTTCGTTATGCAAAATATAAACATTGTGGTCTCGAGCCTTGAGTCTTTTGAAGATAGTTTGGTGTTTGAATGGGTGTCTACTTTGGCTCAGAGACTACAAGAACTTGATGAAAGTGTAACTTCTGTAGGTTCCTATCATGTAAATTCTCAAAGAGGTAATGTTTGAAAGAAATCACTTAGAAAGCTTTAAATACACATTTTGTATAGCTTGGGAAAGTATAGGCTACTAAGAAAAAGACACCCTTTCTGACATAACTGATGTTGCCAGGAACTGTTATGTCTCACTGTCATGAAAATCCCTAAACCGCTTTAAATGCTACATTCTATAGGTCTTTGAAAGGCTTGAAGACTATCCATCGCAAATACATCTCTGCATATCTAGAAAGCCTAACTAGCATAACTCTAAGTTGTGACTATTATAGGTAACTATCTATAATCTTTACTTAATTATACATTACATTTTAAATGAGCTATATATGTACAATACCTAAACAAGAGAAATCTAAATATCACAAAATTGACCCCAAATTCATATCATTAAATCAAAATCCATACCAATGTAAAGTATTCATTTCTATCTCATATTTGCCCCCTTTAAAAAAGAAATTGGCTATAATCATTAACCATTTATAACCAACCCTGTATAAATGAAAACAAACATTAATAAACAATATTTATGTCAGAAAGGAGGATGAGCATCGAAGAAATTCAATATAGAGTTTGCCTTTGACATGGCAAGACTAGTCATTTGGGCAAGAAACCAGTCTTGCCTGGACAGTTTGATAGAGTGAACATGCAGGACCAACAGGAAAGTGACTGCTGAATTTGCAAAACAAGACAGTCCTGAAGGGACCCTGCTTCATGGAAGAGACTGCCAGACATTCTGCAGGACACAGAGAAAAATGATTGACAAACTGCAATATAGGTGGGACAGTTTCAAATTTCCTGCTTTGCTGAGAAGTCTGCCAGACACACTGTGGCCTATGGGCTGAAGATGGATGCCCCAACATTGCAGAAGACCTTGGGGTGACTGTCCAGGCAGTGAGATGTCTCTGTCAATTCTAGTGATCTTTGATGGAGTTGAAGACAAATAGTTATGGCTATAGTTTTCCTAAGTTAGGATTAAAGATAAGTTACATATAAGACTTTATACTCAAAGATTGGATAGATGATAGAATATTTTCTATATATTTTGCCAAATGCTAATTGACTAACTATAATAACTATAGTTCTTACTCGATAACTGTTTTGTTATATATAATTTGACTGTGTCCAAGTTAAAACCTTTCTTTTTATTTAGACAGAAAAGAGGAGATGGGGAATGTTCTTCTGTGTATAAGTTTATCTTACTGGTTGATGAGTAAAACACTGGGGTCAACAGGGCAGTGAGAGCGGCTATTCTAAGAGATGAGGAAGATTATGGGAAGTGTATGCAGAGAGGACTTGTCATGTGATCCCAGGAAGTTGCATAGCTGGGCAGAAACTGCCACAAGTTAACCATAGAGGTCTGGAGGTCTGTACAGACAGGCAGGAAGTGATATAGCTGGGCAGATTCCGAATATAAGCTGGGACAAACAGAAAATTGCTCTCTCTTCTGTGGAGATGTATCGGGCAAAGGAGTTGCAGGTCCAGCATTCCCGGTAAGCCAAGACTACATGGAAATACTTAGATTGATAGAAATGGGTTAATAATTAAGTCAGACCTAACAAAATAAGAAACTATAGCCAATGGCCAATAGTTTCATAATTAATATAGTGTTTGTGTCTTAATTTGGGATTGACAAAGCTAGGAGACCAGGCTGGTGGGAAAGAGTGCACGTAGCAATCTTCCTCTGCTTCTGTGACCTTCTGAGTCACACAGCTCAAAGTTAAGGAATGGAACTACTCCTGCCAGGCTCCTGCCAAAGATGGATTATGCCCAGGTGATTAAAAGCTAAGGATGAGGAATTGGAGGGACCTGGAAGCCTCAGTATGGAAGGTCTTCTTCAATGACTGGTTGTCTGTTGTCTCTAAACTTGTCCTGACAGGATTTAGAATTACCTTGAAAGCAAGACTTTTAGGCATACCAGGAGGAACTCTCTACATTAGCTTGGCACCTGGGAGTGCCTAAAAAGGGTCATCTAAATTAGGTTATTTGGGGTGGGGAGACTTTTCTTAATTGTGGAGAGTACCATGGGCTGATGTCCTGGACTAGATAAAGACACGAAAGCAAGCTGAGCATTAGCATTCATTCCTCTGCCTCCTTGTGGGTGTAATGGGACCAGATGCTCCTAAAGGTCTTGCCCCCATGACTTCTATCATGAAGATTAGACCAGTGAACCGTGAACCAAAATCAAGCCTTGCTTCCTTAGCTTGGTTTTATCAGGCAGGCAAGTTGTTGCAGCAGCGAGACAAATAATGCTGTATATGACATAAAGAACCCAACTTTAAAGAGTTAATATGGTAATTCAGGAATAATCAAGTTACAAATTCATTTTGCATAGTTAATTTCTAAGAGGAATTGAAATGCAATAGAAAACTCAGAGTTTTAGGAAAATTGATACATTAAGATGTGTGCATGTGTGTATGTTGGACAATTATTCACTCTGGACATGGGGCCTGTCCTGATATATCCAGTAACAATCCACTAGAGAAAACCGGTTTTCCCACACTCAGTGGTTATCAATTCCAAACAGCTTCTCAGTTAAGGGTGGGACTTTGTCTCCACTTCTTCTCAATGTTCAAATTTGTCTGGTTGAACTTGTACGGGTCCTGTGAATGGTATCACAGTCTGAGAGGTCATTTGTGTATTAGTCCAGTTCTGTCTGGAATACACTGATTCCTTGGAGTCATCCACCAACTTGGCCCTTAAAGGAGTTCTGCCACCATGCCTCCTGCCTCCCATATAGGTCTCTGAGCCTTAAAGGGAGAAGTTTGAAAAAGGCACTCCATTTAGGGATGAGTGCTTCTAGTTGCTTACTCTCTGCACACTGTCCACTATCAATATTTTTATTGCCTCCCATCTATTGCAAGTGACTTCTCTGAGGAAGGTTGAGTTGTACTCTGCTCAATGGTTGCAACAATGTTATCAACAGTCATTTTGATGCTATGAATTGACTCCTGGTTTGTTTTGGTATTTTCATCTTATGGATATTTTGACATTTTCTTATTTTAAATTTTATTTCCTGACTTTTCATTGAAAATATATCCTGATTATGGCTTTTCATGCACCATCATCTCCCAGATCCTCCCAGCTTGCCTACTCACCCACTTCCAGACCCTTTCTTTCTGCCTCTCTCATTAGAATATAAATATGCATCTTAAAATAATAAAATAAAACCATAATAGAACAAACAGAAAATAAAGAGCTGAAGAAAAGGTACAAGGAACCCCTACATGCCAGGCATTGGTGGCACACGCCTTTAATCCCAGCACTCAAGAGGCAGAGGCAGGTGGATCTCTGAGTTCAAGGCCAGCCTGCTCTACAGAGCGAGTTCCAGGACAGCCTCCAAAACAATAGAGAGACTGTTTCGAAAAACCAAAAAAAAAAAAAAAAAAAAAAAAAAAGAAAGAAAGAAAGAAAGGAAACTCCTACAGATACTGAGACATATTTTTGACACTTTTATTTATTTAGGCATTAAACTCTTGTTTTACCCACTCTTGGGGCTACATAGAATATTTTAACAATTCAACACATAGAATATTAGCGCATACATCTTGAAACTAATAAAATAAGGTAAGCCCCTGTAAAGTTCATTACTCAAAAAAACATGTTTTACAAAATAAGTTGTTTCCAAATTATTTGCTTTCAACCTGGGACACCCCAATAGTTTTTACAACAGTAGGGTTACTACTAATTGCCCCATTATCTCTAGGCTCTCCACATCAGAGATTGTTAAAGTGATCACTCAGGATCACTCAGTACAAGACACACATTTCCAGTTACGAGCTCAAAACAAGAGGGCAAACAAAACTAAAGCTTCTGTTCATGGCATCATGAGAGCTCATGGCCCAAAAATGAAATGATGAAACTGCTTTCTCACGGCACAATTTTCTTCAATGAACTTTTTCCTTCAGCTAGGTCCCTATTGAGTCATGACTGACCCATGAGCACAGTGACAAGTCAAAAACATGACTAGCTCCCAGAGGTCTGATTTCTACAAAAAGAGGCTTGGATATGGGGTTCTGTCTTAGCCAGTATACCTGACCTACAGAGAAGACACACCATCAGTGGATTTTACAGTCTCTTGTGTCTGCAAAACTGGAAGGCAAATGGACTGACGATTCTCCCCTACAGGCAAGCGGCTGCAGAGGAAGTTGTTAAGCACTTAAACCCATAAAGGCATAGCTCTACAAGTTCAAGATCAACACCAGTGTAAGAGCTGTGAAGTGTGCTGACTAGGCAATGCATGCATCCATCCATGCAAATGTAGGACATGGCCCCAAAGAAAACTGAAAGCATGTATCTAGCAACTGGAAACATCCCTTGCCAGTAGTTTATAAAAATAGATATTCAGTACTATAGAGCCCCTGCTACCGTCAACACTATGCAGTCCTTTTCATTACCCATCGATTCAATGCCACAGACGTTCTCAGACGTTCCAGACAAAGGTCACTTACAATAAACAAAGTCAACTTTTTTTAACATAATAGTGTCCATTTAAATAGTAGACTTTTTTCTTTCAAATGAACAGGACATTTTATGTGTTAAACTTAATTTTTAGTTTGTCAAGAATGGGTTTGTTTGAAATCCGTATGTAATGTGCATATATGCTGAAACAAACAAACTTAACACATCACCTGCACAGGAAAAGTGTTAGCTCCCAGGCATGATAGCATGGTTCTGGTTAGTACAGATCTTTTGCAAAGTAAGGAGGTTCTGTGCATTGGCTCCACCAGAGAAGCGCGAAAAGGATGCCAACCACAAGAGCCAAGTGTAAGTTGTGTTCTGATCACCTAGAAGCCTAAGGGACGCCATGTTGCTCCAGCCTCGTGACAGGAATAAGTGCTTAAACTCGCAGCCATGGATGTCTCCCTCAGGAGCCACAGCCACATTCCAAATTACTTTCTATTATGAAGTCGTTTGGATTTCCTAAGAGAGTCTATGTCTTCTGTTGCCTTCCTTCACTTCAGCCCAGACCCTGAAGATGTTCCTGCTGCACTTTCCTCGACTTCTCGGAGCTTGCGTTCCAGCTCTGCCAGCCGAGCGTTCTGTGCACCTATGATCTGGGTGTGCTGTAGCAGCTTCTGGCCTTGTTCTTTAAGCTGTTTCTGCTGTTCTTGCACTTTGGTGCGGAGCTCAGAAATTTCCCGCCTGAGGGCAGTCACACCAGCACTGTTGGTTTTAACCTGCTGCTGGAGTTCAATAACCTCTTGTCGTAAAGGGTTTTGGTTGGAGAAGAACTGCATTGCTGTCAGGGCTGCAGAGTGTCCGGGAATTGGAGGAGAACCCATGAATCCTCCAGACACAACTGACCCTGGCAATTTGTGTTTCAGGACTGGAACAATCTTCTCATCGAAGTACTCAATAGCCATGGAGGAGATATCCCGCAATTCCTGTAGTACTTCATGGGGTTGCTGAGGGGCTCTGGTAGAGTTGACGTATCTCAGTACACGGTAAATCTCATCAATCACCTTTCCTGGGAAGAAGCAACAGAGGTTGGAGACCAGGTACCCCATGAAAGTCGTATTTAGCAGTGACAGGCATGTTTCCAAGCCATCAAGGATGTTTGCATGGCAAGCTAAGGGGTGGCTTCTCCTCTCTGACTCTCTCCTTGGCAGCTGAGCTTTAATTTGCTTCTGACATAGACTGTAGTACCTCTTCACCTTCAGGAAACCCCGATTCAACATTGTCTGGCAGATCAAGTTCATTGTTTTACAAACCAGGCGGAGCTGGCTAATATCGTCGTAGGACATAAAGCTGAGTATGTTCTCGATGTCTATGATGGGCAGTGTCACCAGTGTGGTGGTGGTTTGAGGCTGGTGGTCTGGAGTCAGCGCGGGAGCAGCAGGTGCCTGGGACCTAGGCTGTGGGGCCTGCTGCTGGGGCAGAAGGGGCTGTGGCTGAGCAGAGCTGGAGCTGTCGTGTTGGTGGCCTCTGCCTCCTTCCTCATCCATCCACTCCTCAGATGCTGCCATCTTGGGTGTTCGATTCCTTCCTCCACTGTAAGGGGCACTGAGACACATATTAACACACATAGGAAATTCATTTAAAAAAAAAAAAACAGTTACTATGACATATAGGCAAAAGGTCTGCATGGTTAAAAAAAAGTTCAGACAAAATATTGTAAGACAAAAAAAAGTCAATTCCAAAAATACCATTGTTTGTGCTTTTGTTGTTGTTATTGTTGGTGGTGGTCATATATTTCCAGACAGGGGGCCTGCTCTTGAGAGTAGTTTGTATACCTAATGAGCCTCTATTGGTAAAAACTAATCTTCCCTTTGTGAAATCTCTCCTGTACATCACAGGTGGAATTTGATAGCATTCTTAGCTTTATGGTTGCTGGAAGCTATAGGTCTTCTATGTTGATTCAAAAGTTCACCCACTTTAACAAATAATGTTGAACTTGGGCACAGAGCTTGAAAGCAAATGACTGGTAAAGGGAGTCAAAGATAATTTGTTCCTCCACTTGCAGCATAATATCTTTCCATCCCATAATCACAGTGTTCTAGTCAGCTAAGGTCATTTTGTCTAGATGTCTTTAATATATATAAATGGAAGATTTTTAGATGTTCTCTTGTAGCCTGACTTCTTGGTAAATGTTTTTATTTATGATTTTTTATAGGCAACAATAAAGGTAGAAGAGCACACTATTCCAAGCTAACCTGAACCCATTTTCCCAAGCATTGGTTGTCACTCCTATTTAGCTCCTAATAAACTCTTCCTTCCTTTGGAGAAAGACTTGTATTTTACATTGACAAAAGTAATTAGTATAAAATGCAAGGTCTCAGAGAAATGAAACCACATTCAATTTCTTCCTACTCCAAAAGATATATAAAGCAGGTAAAGGGAGAGCAGTGTGACGGACAATTGAAAATGAAATTAAGTGAGAACCAGGAGGAGTATGAATGTTTAATTAAGATCAAAAGCCAGGTCGGTGAGCAGCCTAAGTACTGAGGTTGCCAGATTGAACATAGGACATTCAGTTAAAATGAAGTTCTTGTAACCAATAAATTCAATCTTAATACAACTATGCTCTAAATATTTCATGACACACACTTGTACTGTAAAAAAAAGTCCTTTACCTTTTTCTGCCTCTGCCTCATTCTCTGTATGTTCCTATCTCTGTGTATGTTCTTTGTCTCTTTTGTCTCTGCCTCCTCTCCTTGTCCTTCTCTGTCCTCAGTATCTGTGTGTTTTTCTTTGTGACTGTCTTTCTCTCCAGTCTCTGTCTCCTTGTGTGTATGAGTCTTTCTCTCCATGTCTCTCTGCCTCACTGTCTCTGTGTCTATATCTCTGTTTCCCTCTGTATACCTTTGTGTGTGCGTATCTGTGTGTATGTCTCTGGGTGGGTGTATCTCCCCTCTGTGACACTGTATGTCCCTCTCTCCGTGTCTTCTTCCTGCCTCTCCGTGTCTTCTTCCTGCCTCTCCGTGTCTTCTTCCTGCCTCTCCGTGTCTTCTTCCTGCCTCTCCGTGTCTTCTTCCTGCCTCTCCGTGTCTTCTTCCTGCCTCTCCGTGTCTTCTTCCTGCCTCTCCGTGTCTTCTTCCTGCCTCTCCGTGTCTTCTTCCTGCCTCTCCGTGTCTTCTTCCTGCCTCTCCGTGTCTTCTTCCTGCCTCTCCGTGTCTTCTTCCTGCCTCTCCGTGTCTTCTTCCTGCCTCTCCGTGTCTTCTTCTATGTGACTGTGTGTGTGTGTCTGTATATCTGTGTGTGTCTCTCTATGTGTGTCTCTGTATATCTCCCTGTGTCTCTCCCTTTGTGTGTATCTCTCCCTCCATCTCTCCCTTGCCATGTCTTTCTCTCCCCCGTCTATCTCTGTCTGTCTCTCTTTCATACACACACACACACACACACACTGTGTCTCTGTCTCTCTCCCCTCCATACACAAACAATTGTCAAGCCAGTTGGATATATTCAATTGTCATATACAGTAATAAACAACTGATCCTAGGCTATAGACAGTCTGTTCTGAGTGACTTTTGATAGTTTTGACAGTGAATCTTAACTTGGCTCTCTGGAGTGTGAACTGCATAGCTTCTTAGGTTATAGCATTTGATTTGAAATCTGGAGTGTTGTGATTCAAACTGCTATAGATATCTAAGAAATAAACAGTAGCAACTTGATATTAACTAGAGTTACCAAGTTCTCCTTCCAATATGAGAACACCAAGGCAACTCCGTCTGGGACTTTAAGGCAAATGTACACTTGCCAATTTAGACTGTGCAACTGTGAGCCCATGCTTGCTTGCTTTCCTCGGTGCAATGTACTAATGCTTAAGTAAATAGGATGTGAGTATTCTTGAGGGTGTGTGTGTGTGTGTGTGTGTGTGTGTGTGTGTGTGTGTGTACAGTGTGACCAGGTGAGAATTTTGGTCTTAACTGTAACAAGCAGTGTACTTTTCTTATTTTTCTCCATTCAATATTAAATGACCCCCCCAAACAAGTGCTGCTGGATTTAAATTCAGAAATAACTAGTCACCCTGTGTTATTATTTTCTACTTCTGGCATGTCTCTTAAGAGCAGATCGCCCACTAGATCTCATTTTAATTACTAGTCTTTTGCATGTGTTTCTCATCTTTGCATGTCAGAGTGACATTAGGATTGAACCTTCTTTTGTGATAATTTATTTCTGCTTCACTTAGAGAATAGAATTTCCCAGACACTGTTGCCAGAGGATTAACATTTTTTGTAAGCATTTAGTTAAATACTTAAGCTTGGCTGCTTGCAGAAGAGAACACATAGTTTGACAATGTGTTATGAGAAGATAATGTGTTTTTAATTGTGATTGTATTTATTGAAGGCAAAGGAAGTACTAAATGTGTTCTCATGGCTGAACAACTGCAAATTGAGGGAAGACTTTTCCAAATCTTCCCTTTTCACTCTACTTTGTGTCTCTTGTGTCTTACTGACTTTTAAGATTCCTTCCTTTCCCTATTTGACCCTTTAATACAGTTTCTCATGTTGTGGTGACACCCAATCATAAAATTATTTTGTTGCTACTTTATAACTGTTATTTTGCTACTGTTATGAATACCAATTAAATATTTGATATACAGTTTCTCTGATATGTGACCTCCAAAGTAGTTGCAACCCAAAGGATGAGAATCACTGCTCTAGCCCCTTAAGGTGAGTCAACAGTTGCAAACTCCTTCATTCTTAACTCCCAGGTGTCTACCATCTTTATTTGCTCCTTCTCATTTATGCAAGGTGACCTCTAGCCCAAGTAGTCAAAGCTGATAAAAAGTTTTAAATGTCCACCCAGAAAGATTTGACATTCTGTAGTTGCTTCTACAGAGGGAATGTTTCCAGTGCTTGCTGAGTGTGACAGTTGGATAAACAGAGCAAAGTATGTATGGTACATTTGTACACACTAAGACAGCTTATGGGCAATGTCCAGGCCATATTAGCATGGAGTTTGAGACAGGACAGTGGCACAGCAGTGTAATCTAAGCACTTGGAAGGTAGAGGAGTGAAGATTAGGAATGCAGGATCATCCTTGGTGACATAGTGATTTAGAGGTCAACTTGAGGACACACCAGACCCAGTCATAGAAAGCATAAACCAAATAAACAAAACAAACAAAACCCAAACAAAAGAAACCCATGTTCCATTGGTATTAATACTTGTAGTTCTGTCTCTCCCTCAATTTTCATCTCTTCCTCAACTCTGTACTACTACTCCACGCAAAATAATGTAAAGAATATAAAGAGACCAGGGCTTGGGGGCAGTCTGGTGAGGGAAAACTCATCTGGTATATAGACAAGGAAGTCAGTTAGATCACTGGAATTTTTAAAATTAAATTAAATTCAAAATAATATGCCAGGTTCTTCCATCAAATCTCAGCAGATCGGCTCATCCCCAGTGGACCAAGCAACTGCAAATCTGCTGAGATCACTGGGTTACAACTGACCCCACTCAGGGCAGAGGTGAGCTCTAGTCTCCACCTCAGGGCCGAATTCCACTTGCCAACTCTGGGATCTCCTGGCCAGTGGACTGTAAGCAGGTCGACTCATCCCCAGCCAAGTAACTCGCTTATGGAACTGTGCTAGTCCAACTCCCACCCACTGGACCTGCTTGCACCCACTGGAGGAGGACCTTGGACCTGTACTCACCAGGAGAGGAAAAGACTCCACCTGTACCCAAAGGAATAAGGGATGGGAAGACAATATAGGAACATATTCAACAACAGCAGAGCCTATACGACTTCAGAGTCTAAGGACACTACACCAGCAAGACCTAGACATCCCAACACAGATGAAACAGAAGAGAACAACCTTAAAAACAACTTCATGAAGATGATAGAGACCCTAAAAGAGGAAATGAGAAAATCCGTTAAAGAAATGGAAGAAAAGACAAACCAAAAATTGCGAGAAACAATTCAAACAATGCAAGATTTGAAAGCTGAAATAGAAACTATAAAAAAAACAGTCTGAGGAAATGCTGGAATTTGAAAGATGGGTAAACAATTAGGAACTACGGATGCAGGCATAACCAACAGAATACAAGAGATAGAAGACAGAATCTTAGGCATTGAAGATACAATAGGAGAAATAGATTCATTGACCAAAGAAAACCTTAAGTCTAACAAATCCCTAACACAAAATATCCAGGAAATATGGGACCCTGTTAAAAGGCCAAATCTAAGAATAATAGGGATAGAAGAAGTGAAGAAAACCACCTCAAAGGTGCAGAAAACATTCAATAAAAATCATAGAAAACTTTCCCAACCTAAAGAAAGACATGTCAATGAAGGTACAAGAAAGCTACAGAACACCAAAAAAAATTCCATGGTCACATAATAATTACAACACCAGACATACAGAATAATGAAATAATATTAAGAGCAGCAAAGGAAAATGGTCAAGAAACATATAAAGGCAAACCTATCAGAATAACACTTGAATCCTCCATGGAAACACTGAAAGCCAGAAGGTCCTGGATAGATATTCTGCAAACACAAATGGATGGCATGAGAAGAAACCATCTTGAGTTAGGTAACCCATCACAAAATGACAAACATGGTATGCACTCACTCATATATGTATTTTAGACATGAAGCATGCGAGTGCCAGCCTACAATCCCACCAGAGAGTATGGGAAACAGGGAGGACCCTAAGAGAAATATGCATGGTACCCCAAAAAGGGGAATGAGACAGGTTCTCGTGAGTGGACTGGGAGCATGGGGGCAGGGGACAGGGTGCTGGGGAAAAGTGAAGGGGAGAAGAGAAGGGGAGAGGAGGACATGGGGGAGGAGGAAGGTTGAGTTGAGGGAAGAATAGAGGAGAGCAGGATAAGAGATACCATAATAGAGGGAGTCATTATAGGTTTGAAGTGAGATCTAGCATTAGTGTGATTTCCAGAGATCTACAAGGATGGCACCAACTGGCAATCTAAGCAATAGTGGAAAGTCTACCTTAAATGTTCTTCCCCGATAAAGACATTGATGACTATCTTGTATGCCATCATAAAACCTTCATCCAATGACTAGTGGAAGCAGAGGCAGACACCCACAGCTAAACACTGAACTCCTGGAACCCAGTTGCATAGAGGGAGTAGTGATAAGCAAAGGGGTCATAACCAAAACAGCTGAACTGAACAAGGGGGAGTTCATGAACCCCAGACTGATGACTGAGAGGCCAGTATAGGACTAATCCAGAACCCCTGAACATGGGTGTCAGTGAAGAGGCCTTGGCAAGCTTTGGGGCCTCAGGAACTAAATCAGTATTTATCCCTGGTATCCAAAGGGACACATTTCACTTGAAGGTATGCCCTCTCAGCCTGGACACATGAGGGAGGAATAGGCCCTGCCCAGGACATTAAGACAACTTTGGAGATAGCCCATGAAGGGCCTCACCCTCCCTGGAGAGTTGAGTGGGAATTGGATAGGAAGTTGGAGAGGTTGTTGGGCTAGGGGAGAAGGAGCTGGGATTGACATGTGAAGCAAGCCTGTTTCTAACTTAAATAAAAAATGAAAAAAAGACACAGGCTAACAGAATGGATTTGAAGATGGAATCCATCTTTCTGCTGTACACAAGAAACATACCTCAGCTTCAAAGACAGATGTTATCTCAGAGTTAAGAGTTGGGAAAAGGTTTTCCAATCAAATGGACCCAAGGAAAAACTGGGGGTAGCAATCTTAATATCTAACAAATTAGATTTTAAAATAAAAATCAAAAGAGATGAAGGAGGTCATTTTAAACTCATCACAGGAGAAATCCACCAAGATGAAGTCTCAATTCTGAACATCTATGCCCCAAATACAAAGGCATCCATGTTCATAAAAGAAACATTACTAAAACTCACACACATAAAACCTCACCTCCTTCTTAGTGCCACTTGGAACCTTCTCTAAAAACTACCACATACTCGGCAACATAGTAAACATGAACAGGTACAAAAAAATTGGTAGAACCCCCTATATCCTGTTGGATCACCATGGTTTAGAGTTAGAATTCAACAACAACACAAATTGCATAAACTCTACAAACTCATGGAAATTGAACAATGAGTAATTGCAACATTCCTGGGTCAATTTTCAATGAAAATTAAGATAAAACATACCCAAACTTATGGGACACTTTGAAAGAAGTACTAAGAGGAGAGTTCATAACACTAAGGGCTCACATGAAGAAACTGGAGAATAGTCAAAGTAGAGAGTTAACAGCACAACTGAAAGTTCTAGCCCAAAAAGAAGCTAACTTACCCCAGAAGAGTAAATCAAACTGAGGGCTGAAATCAGTAAAGTTGAAACAAAGAAAATATACAGAATCAATTTAACAAAGAGTTGATTCTTCAAGAAAATCAAACCTTTATCCAAACTAACCAAAAGGCAGAGAGAGAACATGCAAATTAACAAAATCAGGAATGAAAAGGGGGCATAACAATGGACACTGAGGAAATCCAGAAAATCTTCAGGCCACACTTTGAAAACCTGTACTCCACAAAAATCGAAGATTTAAAGGAAATGTACAATATTCTGAATAGATATCACTCACCAAGAACAATAAGCAACTTAAACAGACCTGTAACTCCTAATGAAATAGAAGCAGTCATCAAAAGTCTCCCAACCCAAAAAAGCCCAAGCCCAGATGGCTTCAGTGCAGAATTCTACCAGATATTCAAAAAAGAGCTAACACCAGTGCTCCTCAAAGGGTTCCACACAATAGAAGCAGAAGGTTCATTGCCAAACTCTTTTTACAAAACTACAATTACCTTGGTTTACAAGACTACAATTACCTTGGTACCCAAGATACAACTAAGAAAGAACTACAGACCAATATTGCTCATGAACACTGATGCAAAAATACTCAATAAAATACTGGCAAATCGAATTTAAAAACTCATCCACCATGATCAAGTAGGCTTCACTCAGGCATGCAGGGATGGCTCAGCATACAGAAATCTATCAATGTAATCAACCATATAAACAAACTGTAAAGGAAAAATCACATGATCATTTCACTAGATGCGGAAAAAAAACCTTGGACGAAATCCAACACCCATTCATATTAAAGTTCCTGGAGAGATCAGGGATAACAGGAACATACCTGAACATAATAAAAATCAATATACAATAAACCAACAGCCAACATTAAACTAAATGGTGAGAAACTCAAGGCAATTCCTCTAAAATCAGGAGCATGACAAGGCTGTCCACTCTTTCCATATCTCTTCAATTTTGTACTTGAAGTTCCAGACAGAGAAAAAAGACAACAAAAGGATATCAAGGGGATACAAATTGGAAAGGAAGAAGTCACACTTTCACTATTTGCAGACAATATGATAGTTTACATGAGCAAACTGAAAAACTCTACATGGAACTCCTACAACTGATAAACACCTTCAGCAAAGAGGCAGGATACAATATTAACTCAAAAAAGTCAGTAGCCCTACTATACACAGATGATAAATGGGCTGAGAAAGAAATCAGACAAACACCACCCGTTACAATAGCCATAAACATAATGTAACTTGGGGTAACGCTAACCAAACAAGTGAAAAGTCCTGTCTAGCAATAAATTTGAGTCTTTAAAGAAAGAAATTAAAGAAGATACCAGAAAATGGAAAGATCTCCCATGCTCTTGGATTGGTAGGATCAACATAGTAAAAATGGTAATCTTGCCAAAAGCAATCTACAGATTCAATGAAATCCCCATCAAAACCCTAGGACAACTCTTCACAGACCTTGAAAGAACAATAATCAACTTTATATGGAAAAATAAAGGAGCCAGGATAGTCAAAGCAACTCTGTACAATAAAGGAACTTTCAGATGCATTATCATCCCTGACTTCAAGTCCTATTATAGAGCTATAGTCCTGAAAACAGCTTGGTATTGGCACAAAAATAGAATTGAATTGAAGACCCCGATATTTACTCACACAACTAAGCACACCTGATTTTTGACAAAGAAGCTAAAATTATACAATGGAAAAATAAAGCATATTCAGCAAATGGTGCATTGAACTGGAGGGTAATATCTTGGATATATAAAGAGGGACACAAAGATGGCGCAGCTGGTCAAAATGTTTTCCCTATCAGTGTAATGCCTTGAGTTAGATACCTGGATCCCTTGGTAGAAATCAGTCTTTCAAAGATTGCCCTTTGACTTCCCCATGCTAGCAGTAGCAGGCATAAACCTGCACACATCATACATACATGTACAAATAAAGCATGATAATATGTACTTCTAAATAGATTTTTTAAAACTGAAATATGAAACATGAATTAACAAGCCAGCTTGATGGGGAAATTATCACAATACCATTCACCTGAAAAAAAAGCTACAGATAATTAGTGGCTGCTAGGAGGAAAATCATTCTTCAAGGATGAACCCCTGCTAGGTTACCCAATCTCATATATTCACAGACGACTAAATAACTCTAATAACAAATCCTAGACACATATACATACAAGTCACACTAAACGAACTGAGAAGGTTGTATTTAAATATTAATATGCATGTACATATGTAATAAAAAATAATTTTAAGAAATAGTATTCCAGGGGAGATGGAAGCAGAGAAAATTATGTAATTAGGTAGTCATGTCAGATTCTGAAAGGATATTTAAAAGAACCTTTGCAGTCAATAATAAATGGGGTAATAAACTGAATAAACAGTTTGAGCAAAAGGATTGCAACTGACCAGCAATTCAAAGGATATCCTATGTATATAACTGCAGGTGATAGCATCCTTAGGTAGGTGGGTGTTGACTATATGAGTCAGAGTGCTATAATGTAAAAAAGTGGTATGAGAGAGAAAGACACAGTGCTACAGAGCTCACATGGAGGGGTTTTCATTAGGGGGAAGTTAATAGGAAATGGGGGGGTACTGTCCTCTGGGGACCGGAGCAGAGAGAGAGAGGGGGGGGAGGGAGGGAGGGAGGGAGGGAGGGAGGGAGGGAGGGAGGGAGGGAGAGACAGACAGAGACAGAGACAAGGGGGGGGGAGGGAAAGGGAGAAGGTGAAGGAGAGAGATGAGTGGTGGGCAGGGCCCTTTTAAAAAGGAATGAAGCAAATGTGGCCACAGCTGAGGGTGTATCCTGTCAGAACACCAAGCACAGGCCAATACAGATGCCTAAATGCTAACACAGAGAACAAGTCAGTAAACATCTTTCCTCTGCGCCCTGTCTTGCTTCAAGTTTTGTGTCCTGAGTTTTTTCTCTGAATGACAGATTTAGACCTGCAGGTATAAGTCAGCTACATCCTCCCTTTCCTGATTTATGGTGTTATTTTTGCTACTTTTCTACTGCTGTGATGAAACACCACGACTAAAAGAAACATTGTATTTGGCTAATGTTTGTTTAATCACAGTCCACTGAGAGAAACCAAGGCAAGAAGTTAAACCACACTAACCTGGACACAGGAACTGAGGCAGAGACCGCGGAGAAACGCTGCTAGCTGACTTGATCTCCACGGTGTGCTCAGCCTGCTTTCTTATAGGAGGCAGGGAGGACCACCTTCCCAGGTGTGGTACCACCCATAATGGACTGGGCCCTCCCCTATCAGTCACTAATTAAGAAAATGCCTTACAGGGGTGCCTACACCCAGATGTACTGAGACGTTTTCTCATTTGGGTTTCCCTCCTCTCTGATGATTGTAGCTTGTGTCAAATTGCCATGAAACTACCTAGCACACGGTGTTTATCACAGCGACAGAAAGCAAAGAAGAGCAGCTGTCCAATTAGTAAACCTGAGACAGTCAAGACTTGAACTCAGGTCTCCTAACTTCAGATTATGCGTTCTTTTTCCTAGGCAGTACTTCACATTACCAGGTGAAACATTTAGATCTAGTATTTCTGTGTTAAGCCTAGAACTCAGATGACCTCATTATATTCCAGGTACTTTACTTATGAGAACTAACCAATTAGACAAATCCCTTCCAACCAACTCCTTCCCTATGCTCCATTCTGCTCTGCTTGGAGATGAGGTACTAGTCTTTTATCATTCCCCAACACTATGCCTGATCACTAACTCCTGGGGCAGCATACATGCAGGCAGAGTCTACCACCTTTCTTATTTCTAGTCACTTCTACTCCTATTGTATAAAGATGAAAAGTGATTCTGTTTATTTTATTTTATAATTTAAATTAGAAACAAGCTTGCTTGTCAATCTCAACTCCCTCTCCCTACCCTCCTCCCATACCCTCTTCAAACCTCCCCCAACCTCCCACCCAATCTCCACTCCACTCTCCAAGGAGGGTGAGGCCCTTCATGGGGGATCAATCTCTAAAGTCTGTCATATCATCCGGGGCAGGACCTAGGCCCTCCCCATGTGTCCAGGCTGAGACAGCATCCCTCCAGGTTGAATGGGCTCCCAAAGTCCAGCTGGATGCCAGGGATAAATGCTGATCTGTTTCCTGAGGTCCCAAAGAATGCTGAGGCCTCCTCACTGACACCCATGTTTAGGGGCTCTGGATCAGTTTCCATGCTGGCCTCTCATCCATCAGTCTGGGGTCCATGAGCTCCCCCTTGTTCAGTTCAGCAATTTTTGTGATTTTCACCCACCCGGTCATGGCCCCTTTGCTCATCACTCCTCCCTCTCTGCAACTGGGTTCCAGGAGTTCAGTTCAGTGTTTAGCTGTGGGTGTCTGCCTCCACTTCCTTCAACCACTGGATGAAGGTTCTAGGATGGCACACAAGGAAATCATCAATCACATTATTGGGGAAGGGCATTTAAGGTAGACTCTCCATTATTGGTTAGATTTTAAGTTGGTATCATCCTTGTAGATCTCTGGAAATCATATTAGTGCCATATCTCTCCTCAAACCTATAATGACTCCCTCTATTATGGTATCTCTCATCCTGTTCTCCTCTGTTCTTCCTCAGACTCAAACTTCCTGCCCCCTCATGTCCTCCTCTCGCTTTGTCTTCACCCCCTCTCTTACTCCAGCTTCCTCCCCCTCCCCCAACCCCATGTTCCCAATCCCCTCAGAATATTCTGTCCTGTTCCCCTTCTTTGGCGTACCATGTATATCTCTCTTGGGCTCCTCCCTGTTTCCCAGACTCTCTGGCAGTGGGATTGTAGGCTGGCACTCCCCTTTCATGCCTAAAATCCATAAATGAATGAGTACATACCAAGCCTGTCTTTTTGTGACTGGGTTACCTCCCTCAGGTTGGTTTCTTCTAGTGCCATCCATTTGCCTGCAAACTTCAAGATTCCATTGTTTTTTTCTTCTGAGGAGTACTCCTTTGTGTAAATCCACCACATTTTCCCTATCCACTCTTCAGTTGAGGGACATCTAGGTTGCTTCCAGGTTCTGGCTATTACAAATAATGCTGCTAGGAACATAGTGGAACAGATGTCCTTGTTTTATGAATGTGCCTCTTTTGAGTATATGCCTAAGAGTGGAATAGCTGGGTCTTGTGGTAGACTGATTCCCATTTTCCTGAGGAATCTCCATACTGATTTCCAAAGTGGCTGTAAGAGTTGGCAATTGTACTCCACTTCCTTCCCTTTGAGTGAACTGTCAGCTGTAAAAAAAAATTACAACTAATTTTTATATTTCCAATCTGTTTGCTATTTAAATTATAAATGTTTTGCATTAGTTTTAATTTATTAAAATATGCTTTGAGTAGTCTGTAGCTGTTCAGGGAGACCAGTTAATATGCCTTGGCATTGACACTCAGGGAAGGTTATGCCTTCTTGACTAAGCAGATGTTTAAGTCATTTAGGGCTTATTTTAAAGTTCAAAAATAAACTTATTGTAGCACAGGGACATTAACACTATGCTCAGATAAAGGGTAAAGTAAGAAAGCAAAGGGTGATTACGTGAACAAATACTTTTTATGGTCTATTAGCAATTCTGCACTTGAATTAGTAGTTATTCATTTTGTCTTCTAAATGGAGCATTGTTTTAAAACAGTAGACTGTAAAAATATATATTGTATTACCAGTAAAGTAAAGTTACAAAAAGAATTGAAGTGTTTTCAAATGGCAGCTGGAGAGACATATACAGGCTCAGCAAATTCAGAAATAAGATGAAGAGGGAGGGAGTGGTTAAGGGAATGTCAGCTCTTCCAAGGGCAGAGTGGGAAATACATAAAAGACTGACATTCAAGCTGGTCCCAAATAAGGGACAACAAGGACTTTGGGATAGAGAGACATGTAGTTTTCATAATCTCAATAGCAGCAGAAATACAATTAGGGTTTATTGGCTCAAGAATATCTAGTTGGACCCAAAGGAAAAATGTTTTGCAAAGTACTAAATAGGACCCTAAGACCACATCAGTTTGGGCAGTCTTGAGAAGCTGCATAAGGAAATAGCAAAGTTTTATTAACTAGGTACTGAAATAGTAGCCTAGGAGTTTAGCTCACTGATACAGCAGTGATACTGAGAAAGCAGCTTTGTATGTGACAGAGATACTTGAGGACTCTTAGACTAGAGCATACACCCTTGTTACAGCTGCATTCAGGATGTGGTCATATTTCTTTGGTGGAGGTTGACCTTCAGACTGTCTCTAAAAACTGTCCAGAAAGAGTTAGTAATTAACAGCATTGTGGTGATTAATTCTTATTGTCAGCTTCATGGGAAGCAATTAAGAGATAAGCTGCTGGGGACCTTTGTTGAGATTTCTCTTGCTCAGACAACGGGAAGCAGGAAGATCCACCAGAATACATCGAGAATCTTCTGGTGGTGCCTCAGATGAAAAGGGGCTAAGAAAAATAAACTGTCATTGTTTCATTACCTTCATATCTTGCTAACAACGTTCATGTTACTTTTGTTTGTTTAAAACTACATTATATATACGAGAATTTGAAATTAAGACCATGTTACTGAAGACACCACACTCTTAGGACATGGTTCTTGGGGAAACTGACCTGGAACCGTCCTGGTAGCCTACTCCCTGAGGACTAGCTCCCATAGAACAAGAAAATGCTACACATGCTTCCAAGGGAGGAAAGCCATCAAAAGCCCTACCCAACTGCAAAAACTACAAACTAAAACAATCACCAGGATAGTATGATGTATGTCCTGAAAAGTACAATAGTGACACTTATATCTCAGAGTTAACCAACCACTGCTAATTGTACTTACGGCCTGCTCAATAGTAGTGAATTCAGGCCTTTTACTATAAACCTAAGTCATTACCTGTAGCTGGTTAAACCATATTGCCACATCCTAAACCATTATAATCCCTAACTGCATTCCAAATGTTTATCCACATACCCACAGATACATAAAGGTCTCATTCCTACTCAAATGAACGTGTTTTTAATGAGGATACAACTGTCAAGGTGCAGAAAATAACTGATCATGGGGTGTTCAGCCTCAACTGATACATCCACAACACCATTCCCTACACTTATGGCTCAGGGAACATAAGTGAAATTGGAGGTGGAAAGATTCTACTGCTCTCAGATTTTGTCCTTTATATATGATGGGTAGCATGTACCTATATAATGTCAACAATATGATTGCTTAAACATGACATGAAAATGACATCACCATTGTCGTGTCAAAGTGGATGGGGGAAATCTCATAAGGTCCCATCGCTTTGCTACAGATGGAACCCATTACTGAAAACCTCAGCCAACTAAAATGTCATCCCTACAGAATAAATAAAATAGTTCACCCCAGGGAAGACTACATAAATTGATTTTCTAATACCAGTCTGTCAGGCCTGAAAAGATATATATGCATGTAACATTATACAGACTGGGAAGGTTGTATTTATGCATTTAGAGATATATTTACACATGTACAGAGTATATGAGTTGTGGAGACTAGTTCTAACTGATACATCTACACCACAACTCCTGCACTTAAGACTCGGGGACCATTGCAAAAGAGGGGTAGAAAGATCGTAAGATTGTAAGAACTAGAGAAAGGAAGTTTGTTGTGAAATTGTGTCTACTAGGAATGTCAGAAACTATACCCACAAAGCCTGACCAACATGACTAACATGATCTGAACAAGGATGACATCAATAGACATGCTAACATGGAAAGAAGAAGGCTCACAAGACTTCAACCTTACATAAAGAACTACAGGTCACTAAAGCATAATGAGGATGAGAAATATAACCTTCAAGAGGAAAAAGCATACCAATTTGTTATCCAGTGTCAAATGGTGATAACTGAAAAAATACATACAAATCTCACAGTATAGACTGAGCAAGTTGTATTTATGCATTTAGGGATATATACATATATGTAAAAGCAGTTAATGAAGAAGAGGTCACAAATTTGAAAGAGCAGGGTGGGGCATAGGAGGTTTTGGGAGAGGGAGTGGGAAGGAGGAAATGGTGTATTCAAATTATGATATCAAAATATGTTTTTAAAATGGGGCAGGAGCTGCAACTTCAACACTAAAGTATAAATATGAATACATAAATGTCTGTCCATTCTCCTTGTCCCAAAGCTTTTAACACAATCTTTATCCTATGTGTCTTTTTTATTGAAAAAAGAATTCCTTTCTCAAAGGATTTCAAATCGTTAGCACTATTCTTTCAAATTAAACCCAAATAGA